GAAATATTATAATTCTTTTTGTATTTACCTCATTCATGCCGAGTTCCTTTAAAACCCTTTAAAGAGTACTTTAGACTTGAATTTTACACATGTTCTATAGTATATTAATTTATTTAGCTTGACACATACGTCTCCTAAATTTAATTGTACAAATATGCATCTAATTAATATACTAATTTTTCCTATTTGTTCCTCATTAAAATGGTTCCATTTTTCCTGTGTGATGCAACGAAGAGAAAAGATAAAGAGGGAAAAAAAACTGTCACTTTTTCAATATTTTTTGAAAATATTAAGTACCATAAAGCCATACACTGGTTTTGAAAGAATAAATGTCCCTGACAAGTTTTTAAAACCTAGTATTAAAACAAAATTTGAAATCCAAACATGCATGCCCATGTCACTGTCTAAATCATATTTATTGTAAATTTGAGATCAATTAATCAACCTTTTCTATTAGTTCAAAATAATATTAATTTCAACCACACATTCACCATTACTATTTATTTCTTAACCACACATTTCATGAGTCCAATACTATCTCTCTTAGAAAGTTTTCTAATAATTTTACCGAACTCTTCATGAAATCTCCCAAAAAAATATTAATCACGAGTTAAACAAAGAATACAATCATATTTCAAGTTCGATTTGGCACAGACGATATAGCAGTTAGACTCATTATAAGACTTTCCACCATAACATATGTGATCATCCTCGATCGGGACTATAGAGTACAAAAAAACAAGATTTTACCCCCTTCTTTAATGTAACATTCAATACCATATACCTTCGGTTCTCCCTACTCGACAAAACTGTCTTTTTCTTTACTAGTGTTGCTCAATGCATGCCGCTTCATAGTGTCACCGATATCTTTCGAATTAAGAATATTAGACAAGACTGTACCATACACTCGACTTTCCTTTTCTTTTTACCTTTTAAATGTATTGCAGTGCTTCATAATTTTCCTCACCGAACAAGCCATTAACAAGAATTTGTGCCACAACAAGAACTTTCAGCCAGTATCCTTTGGGACACTTTTGAAGAGCCTATGGCCCGATAGGACTGTATCCTTCGATTTCCGTGCATTGACAGCGCGTTATTGTATATGGATATTATCATAAATATTGAGCTAAATATTTGTGGTGATTCTCTAATTATAGCCCCCCCGACGACTCCACCATATCTCGTTCAGTATATAGATGGTGCAGAAAAAAAAGTTTCCTTTGGTTAATGAATCTGTTTTTGTTCTTAGCATTTTATCAGTTGAAATCAAGCCTGAAATATGTGGAAACTTTCTTCGATTCCAGATTTTTGGTGCTTCATGGTAGATAATATTTTGTTTGTAGAGGTAAATCATATATATATGCATGTTATACACGGAAATGATTTCCTAATCACCGATACTTAGGTTATGTTAAGCACTGGTGACATAACACACCATTTAATTCGTAAATAAGTTAATGGTATATCTCATGAATTTAATGATTCGCCAATTAAATATTATGACATGTCATCGATACTTAACATAAACTAATCACCGGTGCTTAGTAAAATGTTATTGTGTGTATATATATACACACACACAACACATAAAGGTTGTGAGTACTTCTTTTGCACGGTTAAACTTTTAAGATGGACCTCAAGATTTAATATTGCTGACTCAACAAATTCCATGTGTGGATGAACATATTTTTTTAGATAGCGATTAAGATTTTTAATTTCTTCCAATTTTCGTTGCGCAGGAACCAGCATGGACAAACACTTTTAAGAAATTTGAAATTCATGCAATTGTGAATGGTATATACTACTAGTAGATATTAAAATTTGTAGTTCATCTTAAAAGATTAACTTTCTATTTCGAATTCATCTCAAGGATTAACTTTCTAAGAAAAGTACGTTCAAGCGTCTATGTGCTATATATTTATTTTATATTTATTCAATGCCGAATTCTACTCTTAATATTAAATATGTTATCCCTCTTTATAATCAAAGATTGAGCATTGTAGATATAGAAATTGTTTAGCCGATATTCAATCTTATAGGGCCGTTGAGAAGCTCGAAAGACGGTAATGTTTTGAGTCGCTTGCATCGTCCCAATTTGCATTGAATAAAAATCATATTTTAATAGATTTTGATAAGATTTAATGAAACGTATAATTGAAAAGTTGATAAAAGTTGTGGCTCTCACTGCTGGCGGGCGCACAGTGACCCACCAACTTTTTTAAAATTCGCGACTGTCGATTTTGATTGATTCACATCAGAACGAATTGGTGCATTATTGGTTGATGTTAGGACATGATATTGATCTCCTAAATGAGGGCTATCGGTTGTTGGTGGTGCGCGACAGTGGGAGTTGTCGGAGGTGAATATTCCAACAGAAAAGGGATCTGCAATTTTTTATTTTTGGGCTGGATTTTCTATTACTTTCGGTTGATTTGTGGCTGTTGGTTGGTTGGAGATTATAGAGTGGAATGAGGCGAGGCTGATGGTAGTTGTTCCGATGGTTTCGTCGCCGGAAAGTCTTGATTTGGCAGCCGGAATGGGGTGTAGTAGCAGAGAGTGGAGAGAGAACGATGATTTCTTTTGTTTGAACAGTGATTTTTGAAAATGCCGTGTTTTCATTGTTTTCCATATTTTGGCACTTTTGAATAGAAAACACCAAAAACGAAAAAATGGCATTTTGGGTTTTCTTTGTTAAATTTTCTTCCGTTTTCAAAAATGCATTTTCGAAAATAGCCTACCAAACGAGTTTTCTGTTTTTTAGAAAATGGAAAATGGCCCGAAAACGACAAAAGGAATGCACCCTTAGGTTCTGAAAGCTTCTAATATCAAAAACCGTATTGAACTGAATTCTTACTTTTTTATTGTTTTATTGAGTGTTTTGGGATCGATGTGAAGCTTAGTATTTATATACAACATAATTTGTGTGAGTTTCGTTAACTATCCGATTTAGTTTGACCTTACGTGCATAATTATTTTATTAAAAGCAATAAGTCACTTTTTAATATTTTCCAAATGGTTAACCAAACGGTCCAATTATCCTAAGTTGAATTGTCGCAATTTATAATAAGAAAACGGTAAATAACACCAATATGATGATGGAGAAACCCCAATTGGGTAAAAATTTTGGGATCATGCTAGTTACCTTCACTATAGACAATGAGCATTTTAGTTAGATACTGTCTAACCAACTCCACTAGACTTTTCTATCTACCTTCTGTAGTCTCGAAGATCTGTTAACTCCACTAGCTTCCCGATCTTCTCCAATTTTCTCTTCTGAATGGAGTTCTAAGAATAGCCGATTCTTGTGCTTTTTCTGTGCTTGCAATCCACCACTCCCAATGCCATACCTTCCTTATGGTGTTAAGGAAGTTAGGTGTTTTGGATTCAAAGATTGGATATTTTCCCAAATATGTGATTGCAGGATCTCAAGAATCAAAGGGTTAAATCAATGTTTGAATATGGTGTTGATCTCCAAAGAAATTGATATGAATATGATATGTATATGAGGCATAACGAACCACTTTAGAAAATTGTGCAAGGTTTAGATATATATAGTTAGGGATGATTAGATATTACAAGCAATGTAAAACTCTCCAAAATCACGAATTAAGGTTGGTCGAATAACATCGTCGCTTGAGCGACCCTCCAGCAAGAAGCGAGCGACATACTTTCGCTCGAGCGAAGAGGCAACGACAAGCGAGCAACGACCATTCTATTTTTGTCGCTCAAGCAGCGTCCTGGTGAGCAACTAGTGAAAATGCGGCGTCTCTTCTTTCTTTATTTCGGACTCGAACCTTAACTTATCTAACTCATCTATACAAAATTACACATAACTCGTTGACTTTTACACATGTTCAATTTAGTCCTTTTTGTTTACAGAATCGCCAATTACATAAAACCTAACAATTTGGAAAGTAATTTTGTGGGATTCTTGAATGTGAGAAAACTGTAATTATTTACAAATTGTATTGATTGTAGTATATGAAGAGATAAATATCTTCCACGTCTTGAGGAGTTTATAAATTTTTTTTCATGAGTTTTTCGAATATATGATAAAGTTTTATTGAGTTTTATCAAATTTTTTAATGATATTTGTCGAGCAGTGGATCCTCGAACTTTTGCATTTTGCTCCAGGAATCCCACTTGTCGTAGTCAGCACCAAACTATGTTTCTACAAGAGGCCCGAGTTAGTCTTGAGTTTTTCGTTGAAATTGTCATAGTTTTGCTTTTTTGTCATCTCTACTTATCATGTGGGGAAAATAAGTATGCTAAAAATCGACTCATATTTATCTTATGAATTTAGCATTTTGCAAATTTGATTGTGTCCCACTAATTCAAAATGTCTGCGTCCGCCCTCTCACAAGATGTATAGTTGAAAATAAATTTGGAAGAAAAATGAATTTTCAAAATTTGGGACCAAGCAGGACTTTTTTTATAGTAATTCTTACTTAGGTATTGAAATAAGTAATTTACTTAATTCTAATTTTGATTATTAAATGAATTACTTATCTAAAACTTTACTTTCAAGTTTAGGCAAACATGACTTAGAGGTCCCTCTTCCTCGTAGTGTAAAATAAGAATTCAAGCAGACACTATATCTACAAGATGAAAAAATAGCTACACACAGTATATCAATGCTCTTAGTCAGTTTTCCATTGAGCTAGCTCCTTGAAATTAAAACGTCAACACACTTGTTTACTCGACAATACATTCTAACTTCTAGTGACCAGAAGTCCGAAGAAGGTAACAAACGGATTTGTCTGAAAGGGTAAAAATGACATTTTCCTGGATCAAACATGCGGCCCATTAAGTATTCCAGAAAAAGAGGCAAGCATTGACAGCTAAATACAAATTTAAATTACGAGATATGTCAACCCCAAAATTACGAGATATGTAACCTCTACTAAAGAACTACCAGGTCATAAAGCATCACATCTCCGCCAACACAATTTTGCTGCTAAGGAAAAGTACAACACAACTATTAATATATATTCCAAATGTATCAGTTTGAAATTATACCAAGTCATTCATTGCAATAAAGATCTTATACAGAACCATGATCCAGAGTCAATAACTCATTTCTAAATCATCAACATATTTGTATGCATAATTTAATTGACTTTCCCTGTCTTAACATGCATATAGTTGTATAATTTTTCTTATTTGCTAAAATCTGAAAATTATACAGCTGAAAACCAAACAAACAAAATCTCACATGAAATTCCATCCAAATTTTAGATTAGAAGTTACAAAAGGAACACGCAGAAACTCTTCAGCTGATGAGTACCTCAGAATGAGCTATTTTCTTGCATACTTCTTTGCTGATGCATCCTTTGTAACCCTTTGTCTCTTTTGCTCATTCACCTTAATAGAGCGCGGTATTTCTTTGTAACCACTCCTCTTTCGGAACTTCAAATCTTTTGCACCTATGGTATACTTGTTTTGAGGATCAGGAATGCTAAATTCAGCAGGGTTTCGGTTGAGAGCGCAAACAAATATTTCCGTATTGTTTCTCACTGGCCGAGCTGAAAGTTTAGTGGGGACCTCCAAGTGCATGGTTCCTGATGGACTTTCATGTCTACAAGATTTCTGAGAAATACCCATAGGACTTGAGGTACCAAGGATGCCTTTTCGCTTATCCGTACCAAAACAAGAATCTCTAATAACACATGAAGCACCTCTCGAGAACTCAGATTTCTGTGGTCTTCCTGAGATTTCTTGCTCCAAAAATTTAGAGGACATTTGATCTACAAAACCCGTTAGCCTTTTCAGAAATATTTCAATGAATTTGAGCAGAAAATTAGTTAAAGATAAATGCCATTAGTGTTATCTTATATCCAACATTAAACATCTGTTTCGTACTCTAATTAGTTTAGTGAGCTCATTAGTTATGTCCATAGATATATGGAATAGATGGGTACAAACTAATGTATAAATACACTGATTCTGATTAATAATAATTTTTTTTCCAATTCTTACTTCAAATAATCATCTATGTCTACTTTTCCAACAAAGTAAATCTACAGTAGGCAAAAAAAATGACATTTTTAAAAAGTTAGGCTCTTACAGTTTAAAGAAGATGCAGGCTTCTTGGAGCTTTCACCGGCACTATGAACACCAGACCGCAGCCAAATTAGATCCTTAGGATGATGTTGTTGAGTAAAGAGTGATCTATTGAGTAAATTCTCTTCCCCATTGAACCTGGAGTGGTGATTGCAGGGAGAAAAGGGTTTATTGATGAACTCTTTTGCACCGACATTGTAAGAATTGGATATCATTCCCCGATCCATCAAAGACAGCAATTGCATTGCTGGAATTGTGTCATTTGAGTAAGGATCTAACGATCCAACGGATTTCCGACATGGCTCAATTATCCCCTGTTCAAGTAACAACGTATCACGTAAGGCTAGATTTTCCATATCGCCACCCTTTATGTCACTAACAGTCTTTCCTTTATGGTGCTGGTCTGAGAATGTAGGCGTGTTTTCCCTCCTAGGAGGCCACATTGTCTTTGCTCCTTCGCTGAGTCTTGATCCCATTATGTTGAAGCCTGAAGCTGAAAGCTGCATTTTATTTGGTCGATTCTGTGGAAATGAGCTGAAGAATGTTGATTGGTTTTCCTCTGGTTTTCCCATGTTGAACTGATTCGTGTTCGAGAGAGGAAAGCTTATAGGACTGTTTTGGATAGTTCCAACATTATCACTTGCCAAAACTATGCCATTGCTTCTTGTGCTCCCAAGTGAAAAGTTGGTCGTGCCAGGACATTCAATGCTGTGAACAGCAGGAAACCCTATAATGGGTTTATTGATCTCCTCGGGTAGGGTGTACTTTGAACTACCAACAGCCTTTTCATGTTGAATTTTAGCCATCAGCTCAACTATGTCCATCGGGATGTCATCCGATGCTCTAAGTTCAATACTCTTATCAGTTTCTTTGTCAATTTGTGGATTAGAAACTCCTGGACGCCCTTGCCCCTCTCCAGCATTCTCTTTGCTGCGGGAGGAAGAGGTATCCTGGAAAAAAAGTTTGAATACTTAGGATTCTAGCTTGCACTATTTCAAGTAAAACAAATAAGTTTTGATTTCCTGACATAGGAGGGAAATTTGTAATAAAAAGAGTTCTAATCATATAAATCAAGTATGAAACTGGTATAGTGATCGGAAGAGTATGTGATATCAAGGAATTTTCTTTCAAGTGGAATCCTCATAATGCAGCCAATATATTGTAATTCCTAACTGATGAATTATTGAAAAGTCGTCGATGAAATGGTCTTTGAAGTTTACACTTGTTACATACATCAGTTTAACTAAAACAATCAGCAATATCAGGATTTAGTTCCCATCACCCCCCACCCCTGAGTCCCTGACCTTTCCAGACAAAATTAAAAGTTAAAACATAAACCAGCAACTAAGTATTTGGACAATAGTACGTTAAAGAGAAAATTGCTTACCAAATTCTTGTGCAGAGGTAAACCACCATTATCAAGTAGATTTGATTGTTGCTTCTCCCCCAACATAGCAGTTTTATGAGTAATTATCTCATTCAGATCCCACAGAAATTCTTTCCTCTGAGGACAGTTATTGTGAATGCCCTTTTGTTGCACGATTGATGACCTAGCATTATCATTTCTTTCCGAACTCATTAAGCTGTTGAGAGAAAGATCCAATGCCACTCTCTCTTTAACTAAACATTCTCCTAGTTTGCTGCTTTTGGGAGCCATTTGACCAGCTTCAACTTCAAACCTCTTATTTTTCGAAAAGTTGGAGTTCAACACAGTTTGTTGTGTAGACTGGAAACTACTAAAAAATGGTTCCATTTGTCCTGATGAGGAAGGAACATTGTATTTCGGCAAATCAGTAGAGACCACAGAAATTATCTTCGGCACCTCTAGCTCAGGAACTGGGAAAGACAACCCCTCATCTGTAGGGATCTGACTTTTCTTTTTACTGAGAAAAAGATCTTTGCTTTTGCCCAGCTTGATCTTTCTACTCTTCGTGCCAGTCTCCAAATCTACTTGTGTAGATGCACCTCCTTCTGATTGAGAGTCAGAAATTTCAACAGAGTTATCTTCTGAATTTACTTTAGAGTCCCTGAACTTTTTAGCTGAACTAGTTGGACAGCTAATTTCTGGGGGTCTTTTGTTTTCTTCTTGAGTAATCTTTCTTTTCCTCGGAGTGCTCCTGTTACCTTTTCCAACATGTTCAAGGAAATCTTCCTGATCCTGAGGAGATGAAACTGCTCCTAACTCAGCAGACACAGTATGCATTCCACTGGATGAAGCACTCAGTTTTGGGTGATTATTTACAGAAATTCTTTCTCCATCCAATATTTCTGCAAGATAACGCAACTTAGGCTTTCTCTTAAGTGGCAATTCACTTAATTTATTGTCACTTCCAGATGATGTGTTGTCATGCTTATCCACTTCAACTGAAAGGAGTTTAATTGCATGTGCTGTATCAGAATTTGCAGCCTTATCACTGATATCACCATTATCATTCCTTAAATTGTTTGGCTCAAGGACATCAACATCTCTAGATTTTATAGCATCTGTAAAAAATTATCAAAATATTACTCTTTTCCATAATTGAACAACAATGAAAAATAAGCATTTTTAAAGAATTCAGTGATGCTGTCAAATTACAGGCTGTACTGGTATGTGTCTCTTGAGCCTGGCCAGGATTAGACTCTATAGTATCAAAACTCAGATTGCAGCCTTCTCCATCCACGATATTTGCTCCACTTTTCCCGCCTGCACAGACATAAAGGATATAACAGCCAGGAACATGGGAAAATATTCGAGTTAAACCCACTACCATGTTCAGAAGAAAGACACCAATATCCTGAGTTCATAACTCCACACTGAAAGTTTTCTAACAATGTTTCCAGATTAATCACAAACTCACATGTTATAGCTATCTGTCTGGTTGTCGAGCATGGATTAGAGTTTGTGAAATCATTTACATGACTGCAGTTTCTGCTATTTCCAAAGCCATCTGATCCATGCTTGTCACCTGCTAAAGTAGTCGGGATACGTACTGCAATAAAGAGACATCAAATAGGTAAGCCAAACTTATGCTTGATTAATACATTAGTAATGAGATCGTGCGTAAGTATGTACAAGCAACAGCTTGATCACCAATTTCAGAATTTCTTGCTTTCTTGCATCTGGACGGCAACAATATATCTTTTTCTCCATCCCTGGTAGGAGAAGTTGTACAAATATTAATTGTATCTTCATTTAATGGTATGGGAGATTGTTCCATCATTATTTCTTCTGAACTATTTTCTGTCACAATATCTGAGACACAGTTGAAGCACTCCCACCATCTAAATCTGGGGACGTATATTGGAGGGAGGTTCTCCTCCAAATCACCATCATTAGCTTGTGAAGCAAAAGGTAAACAAAGCTTTCGATCCTTTTTCCTCATGCCAGCGACATATCCACTGCATTCACAGTGGAAAATTCAGAAAGATTTACATTGCAAGTTTCTAAGTAACTTTCATGTGTACACAACCTGATTAATGAACCTTGATGTAATCATGTCTTCATACAATATGAGTAAGGTAGTTAAGAGATCATGCAACACTCCCTGTGCCTATATCAATTTTATCTAATAAGAATAACAATTAATTTCAGTCCTTCTGAAACTTAAAGAACTCCTACACTGTACCTTACATATAAAATAATGTCCTCAAACATTCAACAAAGGAACCCATGTGAAATGAAATGTGTTATTATCGGGTCCTAAGGAGAAAGAACATTGGGAACTCTGCATCAACTTGAGTCTGCTTGTATGTTCAGTATCTTCAATGTAAATTATCATGAACTATTCTCAATAGGGAATCGTACATGTAAGCGTACATAAGTGCACACATTGACACACATACAAAACCATAAAATGAGTAGAGGAATGCCCTTGAGGACGACAGTATTGAACAAGTGAAACAAGCTTGGCGAAGTCTTATAGCAAAGGCTTACCGTATGGAGAAGTGTTCGTGCTTTTGTGTATCCTCTTCTGCAACCTTTCCGAGATCTATAGCTATTGAGTTTATCCGAATGAGCATTCCTAAGGGCCTTGGCGCAGATGGAGTAGAATCGCTTTTTTGATGATTTACTTCCATCTCCACAATACTAGTCTCCATTTCAAAAGCAAAAGCCTGAAACCACTGGATGAAGTGATATGCACGCTTCACATAACTAGGTAAATGAACCCACACCAATGTACAATATACATACACCTCAAAGTTCAAAGCATGATGAAAGTTCACATTAAGTGCAAGTTTGTTAAACAGTATTAGACAAGACTCATGTACAGTGAACAAACTTTTAGGTTCTTTTCTTTAATAGTATAGTGGTCCAATCTTGTCCAACCCTTGCTATGAAAACATAGTATAAAAGGTAACAAATGTATGTTAACATCCAATCAAATTAAAGAATGTGAATTAATGCACAATTGATTGCAAGATAAGTCAATTTGTTACAATATTGTATGAGAAAAATTTGAGAGATAGGCAGGCAATTAAAAATAAATTAGTAGTGGTGGCAGCTCGAAGATAGACAATTAAGAAATTAGAGTAACGTGTGGCAGCTCGAAGAGTTAACAAATGTTAGAAACCCTAATCCACAGTGTCAACATAGATGAGGCTGTACCCAATTCAAAATTCTTCGAATTCTGCACATGATACAATCACACACAGATAAACGAATAAAATGGACAGCAAAATGATTCACGAAATTCAATTTTAGGGTTTTCTCGAGATGAGAAATAGTAATCTTATTTTTCATAAGTAATATTAAAAAGATTCATCAACGCGTTGAAAATTAATTCAAAACCCATAATAAAAATTCGATTATAATTGCAAGACCAAAAAGCCACATGATTTAATCTTAAGAATAAATTTCACTAACGTAATTAGGGTTTAGATATTAACGGTTTTGATTATTCCGATGGACGCGGCCTAATTCAGATGCATCATAAACAGAAAAGAACAAATAATGAGTACCATAAAATGATAAGAACAATCACATGAAATCAAACCCAAAAAGGACAAAAATGAAAAGAAATGGACCAACGAAATAAATAGAAATAAAATCACTTTAACAGAAACAGATATTTAAGGGAAAAAAATAAGTTCAAATTCAGCTGAAACCCAGTAAAAATCAAGACGGGAAAACCAATAATTTCATAACAACATATACATACAGTTAACAGTGAAAAGATAAGAAAAAACGGACCTTTTTTTGGAATCGAAAACCAGATCAATACCTCACTGACCGACCCAGAAAAAAATCTCCACGGCTCACAGAAATTTGCGTCTCATTTAATTAAGAAGAAACTTGAGAATTCATACATACGATTTTCTTGAAGAGATCCGAAGGTTGCTGTGAGGAATTCGAGTGCGAAATCTTAGATAACCCTAGGATTTTTTAGGTTTGAAATTTTTGAGAGAGAGAGAGAGTGAGGGAAATGGTTTTAGAAAGAGAGTGTGTGCGCACTGTTAAGACATACATTTTTTTACGAACAAACATATACAAGTGTGCATTGTAGAGAGAGGAGAGAGAAATCCAATCAGATTCGGCCAGCAAGGCAACAAGGTGGTGGGATGACTTATCACCATCCATTATGCGTTTTTCGAAACCCTAGTCAAACCTCAGTATAATGAGTGACATACACTCTCCTTTCTTCCAAGGGAAAGGAATTGATACTTGATCCCAATTCTTTTATGTTTTTGCAATCACATCCTCAAAATTTCATAATGTGTCACGTGAGTCCTTGATGAGCAGCTATACCTTTGTCATCAAACATCCTTGTGCAGCATTTGGGACATGCTGGGCAAAAAAAAACTAAAAAAATAGTTTTCTTTCTTGTTCTTCCTTTTTTTTTTTTAAGATAATAGATTCAGACCAAAATCCACGTAAACATGGGCCTCCCAACTTCTACGACAAATAAGTTGGGATAAATTGTTTTTCTGTATAAGTTCTGTACAAAAAAATGTACTTATAAGTTGTCTTGCTGTAACCAGTTTTTAGCTTGTTGCTAAAAGATAGCTCTCTTCTTGTTGTTGCTAAAAGACAATTTAAACAGTTTTTAGCAACAGTTTTTGACAATAACCAATTATTGGAATACAACTGTCTTTCTGTATAAGTTCTATAGAAAAAAAATGTACTTATAACATTGTTCTACCATCAGTCAAGATAGAAGCCATGCCATGTATATTTTCTCAAAGGGGTTTAAAAAACCTTCATCCCCAAAAGAATTCAACGTCTTCGTCAACCAAATTCACAAATACGCCTCTCCATTTTCCCTAAATACTCCCAAAGGAACTCTGCTACTTCCAATGCGTTAAACATCTTCCCTTCATTGTCAAAAGTTGGGTGATCAGTCCAGCATGTATTCAACTACATCAAACTCATGATTTTTTTCTAAAGAATACACCAAGTCCCTCACATCATACTGCAATCAAGTTTCTCATCCGCCTGATTCATCGAACACAGCAACAAACCCACCATATTTATCACTTTTCATCCGCAGCAACTAGCCTCATTGGATTCAATTGAGGTACAATCTCTTCAGCGGACTCATCTTGTTGTTCCCTAAGAAACATCACACTTTCCCGTCAAGGTACAAACTGGTGCTTAAATTCTTTGTCAAGCCTTTCCCACGTCATAATTTTCGTCTTCCGACATTTATCTTCTTGCATTCCTGTCCTCAACCACACTTTCTCATCTCTCGATAAGTACATATTCGCAATGCCAATCTGATCCACACATGCGTTGCCTTGAAATGCTGCACCATATTCCAATGAAAATTATTCAATTATTTCGCATTCTGTGTACCGTCAAACGATTTTGGCTCCAGTATATTAATTTTTGACATATCACCATCGTCTCTTAAAATGCGGTCCCTCGTTTCAGCAACCCCTCCAGCACAGTTAGGAGAGCAATAACATTTTCTGTCAGTGTCATTACGTCCCCAAGCAACGGACGTAAACTTTATGTTTTTCTCAGCAATGAAAGTTTAAAAACCTGCTTCACTCCGGCCGGCCTGTAATTCCCTCAATTCGTACATCGACGCTTCCAAATTGATAGCATTGTCAGTCATTGGTGTACCGACAAAATTTTTCCAACATTTCAACCAATATTCTGACTTGTAGTCATCTTCTAATTTCACCATCCATCATCCCAACTGGGCTCTAATACCAAATTATCCTTGCCCAAAAATATATTGAGCATTTTCTTTTAGCATGGTGTCTTCATTTTCGTTGAGATACCCTAGTGCAGAACTTAGCTTCCACAGAGAAACAAAAGCTTCTTAGAAAGATATTTAAGAAATTAGAGGAGAGGTTACTCTTAACCTATGTTTGACAAATGTTTATAAATAGTTATTTTTATGAATATATAAAAAGGGGTGTTGAAAAAGCCCTTATTTGATCGAAATTATTTTGTAAAAACGATATTTTTAAATAGTGATTTTTAGAAGAATATTTATTTAAAGTGGAAAAAGTTTTGAGTTCATGTGCAAAATGTTTTACTGTATAAATATATAGCTGAAAATGAATATGAAAAATAAATTGTGTTGCTTTAAAGTGAATCAAACACGATCAAAGTGGATAATATCCGTGGATCCACGTATATTTTGATAAAATATGGTTCGATTTTTGCAAAACATAACATTCATGATTTTGGAAGAGAAACATGATGTCCACCGCTAAAGGAAAAATGGAAAAAAAAA